GAGACCAACAGGGAAGTGCACATTTGGATTCATAGCTGAGGAGAGGAGGGTGGGGCTGGATCCTGGCTGAGAATCAGCCTCATGTTTACAAAGCCCAAGTCACAGAACCCGAGAGAAAGTAGAGAGCAGATGAGAGGAAGGAGAGCAATAAATGATGCATTTGCTAAGTGCCCCTGAGTTCTAGATGACCCTAAAACCTAGCAACTTGAAATAAGCAACATTTGCTACCTTTGACTTTCTGAGGGGCAGGTGCTGGGAGCAGCTTATCCCAGGGTTTTGTCTCAGGGTCTCTCAGGAGGCTGTACCCATGTGGTCAGCCGGGGCTGGAGTCTTCCCAAGGATCAAGTAGGGCCTGAGCATCAGCCACTCACAGTCTGGGCCTCTTTGCGGGGCTCCCCAGGGCTCTGCAACCGGCCTCCCGCTGAGTCTGAGTCTCACGCTCCACGCGGCCAAGGCACTATCTTTCATAACCTAATGTCGGGACTCACGTGCCGCTGCTTCTGCCGTCCTCAGCCATGGAGAGAGGGGACCACATAATGGTGTGAACAGCAGAACAGGTCGTTAGAACCATCTGGATGCTGCCAAGCTCAAGTCACCACCAGGACAACAACAAAGAGAACAGACTCTAATAGGAAACACAGAGAGCAGAAGAAACCGCAAATCCTACTGCGTGGGGGCCAATTGCCGAAGCATAGCGCCATGAGGGAGGAGTCCCTGAAGGCAGGGCTGGTTCCAACTACTGGAAAACTCCAAGAAAGGAAAGTGAATGAGAACTGAAGCGAGGCCGCCAGATCTGCCCATGAGACTGGCATGGCCGGCCGCAAGGATGTGGGCCTAGGCAGAAGCCACATCTCAGCAGGTGGACGAATGCACGGAGAGTGGAGGTGGGGTGGCAGGGAGCTGGGAGTATGAACTGACTCCTGCAGTCTCAGTGGTGCAGAGAGGAGGGACCGCTTGGGTTTTCCAGAGGTGGGGGGAGTGGCGCTGGACACAAAAGCTTGACTGTGGCTGGAGATGACTGGAGGGAAGAGGTGGAGGGGGGACTGTGCGGGATGCCGCGGTACAGAGATTATAGCCCACGTTCCAGACATACGAGAGCAGTGATTGAAAGCACAAAGAGAGAGCTAGGAGCTCTTCCTCCAACAGAGCAACAGGTGCGGGTGCAGGTGCAGCCAGGAGGGATACGGGGGGGTCGGACAGGTGCCATCCTGACGGTCCTATGTCCTTCGGTTGATGCTAGAACGAGGTGGCAGAGGCTTGGGAGCGGTTCTGAGGAAGTCAAAGACCAAGATCGGCTGTATCCCCAGGGACAGCCCTTGCTTTGAGTTATGCCCATGACCTTGCTACAGTTCTGCGTACACTTCCTCACCCCCAGCGGCTGAAGCTCAGCGTTTGCCCACATTTCATCTTCTCCTGACTTTACAGTCTCCCCAGAGCCGTCCCAGGCATCTGGAATGTTTGCACAACCATCAGTGGAGCGCAATTTATGTCCACCCCACACGGCCAGGGTTGTCTGCAAATCAGCCCTGCATGGTAGCAAACAGAAGTGCGAGGGGCGCATTCCCTCCCCTTCAGAGATGGTGGGAGCCCTCACTGAGCCAGGAGCATTGAGGACACCCATACAGGTTTCTTCTCAACGTCCTGGGGCCGTGGGTAGAGTCAGCCGTGTGCGGGAGACCTCCAGCAAACAGCAGAGAGGCCCATGTGGAGGCCTGGTTTGGCACACTGATCTCTCGTGTCTTTTCTGTGTGCGTTGGAGAGAGTACACCTAACCTTGCTTGCTTCTGCTTCCTTGTCCATAAAACAAACATGCTGGGAAGAATAGGGCACAGGACCTGGCGCTCAGTGCTTCTTGCACAACACCAACTGTTCTGACAGTCACCGACATCATCGCTCGTTTCCACAAGCCCTGGTATGGGACGGGCCATTGCCAAGTGGCTTGGATTCCCTCAGGTTTTCTGGTTTGTGTACAGTGAATTAGTAAAACAGCCTTCTGGACAAACCCCATCATCCCCCTTAAAAAACAGAGACTCCCTTATCCTGGTTCTCTGTGAGGTCAGGGGAGGGCTGGGCTGAGCCCCAGGTTTGGGAATTGGCTCAACCAGTGGAATCCTGTTACAGCAAACCCTTCGCAAGGGTTGGCCGCGGGCCGGGGGTGCTCTGCTTTGTTCCTAAATAGTATCAGCTTCCATTTCCTGACACGTGGTACTCTCAGCAGGTGCTTTGAGGCAGCGCATCTGACCCAGGAAGGCACCTGCCCAGCCCCACTGCAGAGACAGGAACATGAGGGCAGAGAGGGGAGGGACTGTCCCAGGGCACACAGCTGCTCACTGCAGGGCTGAACATGGCACCTATGCTCCTGCACCCCCACTGCTCCTCGGCCTGGCCAGGTATCCAGGGGCTGGGGGCAGGTGAGCAGACAGAACCTGGGCAAGGCACGCAACCCCAGCCCTCTTCCTCCATAGTCCAGAGGCCCAGCAGTAGCTGTCTTCTGGAAGCATTCGCAAGGGTTCTTTCTGGAGCTGTAGACCTACTGTGTGTCAGGGCCTGGGAAACACCTGGGGGCTTCTCTCCCCAGCATGCACAGGTCCCAGGAAGCTCTCTATCTCCCACAAGGGCCCACGCCAGCCCTGGGCCCCCATGGCTACAACCCCGTCCCCTTCTTTGAGTACAAAGCTTCCTCCCATAGCTTCCACCCCAGCGCAGGGCTAGCCGAGGGTAATTCCATCCACGGGACTCCTTAGGAGAAAAACCAGTTGTACTTTCCTAATACCCATGTCACCACCCCTGTGTGCTGGCACACGCGGTGTCACACACTGCTGTCACCTGAGACTCGCTTCCCGTGGCTCAGGGTACTTTTCCACACTCTGCCTCCCCCAGCCCAGCCCTCAGCCACTCTGCCCTTCCTCCTCCTCTGCCTCTCCAGCCTGCTGGGAGCCTAGCTAGCCGCTCGTGTCTCCAGGAAATGCCTCATCTCTCTTCCCGGGGGCCCATTAGTGAGTGCGAGGTCAGACGTGGGTGTCTGGGGCTCCTCCAGCTTCCCAGCTGAGCTCTATTTTAGGGTCTGACCCCTGGTTCCTGGCAGGCTTCTCTCCCTCTCTGCTCTGACAGCTCCAAGGAACTTGTCTGCCCAGCCAGACTTCTCCCTCCCCTGTGGGACTCCAGAAATGGGCTTAATGGGAGCGCAGGCGTCACAGCTGCCAAAGTCCATCTTGTAGTTTCTCCAAAAGGGCGCCCTCCCAAAACTGGGTGTTTCCCAGCAACCCCCTCTTGCACCCCTCGTGGCTGGAAGGGAACCCCTAATCTGCAGCCCCGTTAGCTGTCCACTTCTCCCACCCTACCCCAGTGCATAGAACTAAACCTCCTGGGGAAGAGGCTATGTAGAGGGCTCAGTCCAGACACAGCCCGCTCTGCCAGGCAAGACACCTTCAGCCTGAACCGGAAAACCCACACCAGCCCACGACAATCAGGAACAAGTAACTTGAGCAGCTCCCAGTGGCATCCAGGCTTGCTTGTCTTCTGCTGGTCACACCCTATTCCAGGGCAGATGCCCTTCCCAGTTGGGCGGGGCCAGGGGAGAGGGAACAACCTGGTCTCAGGCCCCCGTGGGGACGCTGGGGCCGGTGTCGTTGCGCAGTAGGCTAAGCCTCCCTCTGCGGTGACAGGATCCCATATGGATTTGAATCCTGGCTGCTCCACTTCCCATCCAGCTCCCTGCTATGGCCTGGGGAAGCAGTAGAAGATAGCCCAAGTCCTTGGGCCCCTGCACCCATGTGGGAGACCCAGAAGAAGCTCCTGGCTCCTGGCTTCAGATTGGTGCAGCTCCAGCTGTTGCGACCATCTGGGAGTGAACTAGCGGATGGAACTCTTTTCTCTTTGACTATAACTCTACTTCTCAAATAAATCAATAAAGTCTTTAAAAAAAGAAAAAGAAAAAAGGGAGGGATGCTCCTGTCCCTTCTGGGGTCACACCCTCATTCCTGCAGCCTGGAAGAGGTAGCTGCAGCCACAGCCATGACCAGGGCACTGAACAGGCTAGGCCAGGCCCTGGCTTCTGAGCCTGCAGGCATCAAATATGCAGCCACGTCGGCTGCTCTTGGCCAAGAAGAGGCAAGTGAGCAGTGTGGGGCCAGTCGGAGCCTGCTCAGAGAAGGTGGGATCTCAAAGAGGGTGGGGCCACAGGCCTACAGCCACCCTGCTCTCCACGGCTCCACCTGTTTGCCTCCACGTGAGCCTCAGAGACCCCAAAACCAGCATTTAGGGGAAGGGGCACGCAGCAGCAAGACATATGAAAGGCTAGAATTGATAGTTTGCTGATAAACAGCCTGCCCCACCCAAGGAGCAAATGTGTCAAATCCTGTGTCTCTGAACTTGACCTTGAAGATCATCACATGATCACAAAGGTTCTTAAACTCATTCAAGGGAGGAAATATAAAAAAAAAAAGGGACCGTCTATGGAACGCCCTGAATCTTAATCATACTAAAATAATGCTAATCGCTTCTCAGCCTTTTGGCTAAGATCAAGTGTAGTATCAGTTCTTAGCAGTAAAATGAGGCTAATGGCAAAACTATCCATTATATGAAGGACAAAGGAAACAACAAGACAGAACTGGAGCTTCCCATTTAAGGTTTTATTTCTTCCACTTATTTGGTTGTTTTTTTGTCCATTAAACAAAACACTGCTGGAGGAGAGAGCAGGGCGGGGGCAAAATTTGCTGTCGCTGCGTCCATTATATCAATTAGCAAATTAAGGCAAGGAAAGCCCATCCCAGTCTAAAGGTTAGGGGCGCAGCTCGGGGACACTCACATACCCTGAGAACCACCCACCCAGCCCACATGTCTCACTCACTTTCTGCAGAATTTCCTAAGGCTCACAGACACCTTGGAACTCCCTCAAGGTCACCCAGTTAATTATTGATCCAGCAGTTCCCCTCCCAAAGACTCATGGGCATTTCTCACACCCGGGTCAGGATGCCGACCGGGCAAGCAGGTCTGGTCTCAGCCCAAATCCGCCACAGACCTAGAAAGCTCCCTAATCCACCTAGAGCAGAAGAATGAAGGCTGGAACATATTTCAGAAGTTGTAGGCGCTGGTGATTTAAAGACACATCCCTCTCTCTCCTCCACACACGTGTGCACACACACACAATCAAGCAGGAACCTGTCCATGCACCGACCCCTGCAGAGAAGGGCTCTCCAGGTCCACTGTAGGTATGAGGTTCAGGTGTGTCTTGCAAGGCACTGGCCTGGCAAGCAAGGGCCTGGGCTCGCTGCTCGGCTCCCTCCTCCCATCCAGAAACGGTTAATTGCCAGCGCCAGGCTGCCTGCAGCCCAGCCCTGATCCCAGGCAGCCAGGCTGGGGCTGCAGGGAGCCGCTGTGGGGAGCATTCTTCCAAGGTAATGATTAAGCTAAGCGCCTGGCAAGGGCGCAGACTGCCGACTGGGAAGGTGAGCCCTGTTCACACCTGGGCCAGGCTGCGGTGGCCAAGACTGGTTTGGAAAGGCAAGGCCCTGGGGCACGGGGGCCCTGAGCCGGCAGCCACAGCCTGCTGCCTGTGTAAGGGCACCCGGGAGCATCCCGGTACCAGAGGCTCTGCTGCCGGCCCCACTGGGACTTTGCCCTCGCCCCGGCACCATGAAGCTCCAAGTGTTCTGGACTGGGCTGGAATACACCTGCCGGCTCCTGGGCATCACCACGGCTGCAGGTAAGAGCCCGCCTCCCGGCTGGGTCCCCTGCACTTGGCTGTGGGAGCCAGCGGGCAAGTCTATCTGACTGCTTCTATCCTCCAGTTTCTTTCCCAACACCCTTCTCCTCCCACAACCCGAAACGGCGCTCTGTAGGGCAGCAGCAGGTGCGGTGGGGTGAGCCCCAGGCCAGGAGCCCAAGGCCTGGTGCTGGATCTGTGCTTGGCGACGACCCCTCCCTCACCCTTGGGAACCCTGAGCATCTTCGTCTGCAGAAGATCTTGGGGTGGGGGTCTGTCCCACCTCCTGGAGGATGCTGTGTGTTGGGGGTGGGGGCTGGAGGTGAAGATGCAGGAATAGGAGCCCCACTGTATGGCTATGAAAACCATCAGCTGAGTTCCACTTGCTTTCGCCAAATCACAGCCCGCTTCCATGGAGAGCAAACTCCCAGGCACAGAGCAGCCCCATCCCAGGGGACAGGCTGACCTGGGCAGCTCCCTCCTGCCCACCCGGGGTCCCCATTGACCAAGCACCTTAGAGAAACCCCCAGCTGCCCTCTCTGTGACCCTCTGCAGGAGCACACTCTGAGTTGGGGGACAGAGCTGGTTCCCTGAACTGGGCCCCTATGTCCCGCGCAGTCGGATGACTGAAAGGGCTGCTGGATGGGCTGGGAAGGCAAATGGTTAGTGCAATCCAAATCCCAGCCTGCATATGCACCCAACACAGACCCCCGCTGCTAGCCATGTGGCCCACGTGGAGCTAGGATCTGTGTTGGGGAAAAGAGCAGGGAGCCTTCTGCACCCTTAGCTTGTGACCCCATGACACTTGGAGACAAGGAAGAGCCACACACCACCCACCAAAGCCCATCAGTACTGCTGAGCGAAAGCTGACTTGTGAGCCTTGCTAAATGGGAAAGGTCCCTGGATAAAATGCAGCCCAACCCTGACACTTGCCCAACATGTGGCCTTGGGGGAGCTGCCCGACCCCTGTGATGGCCACTTTCTGACCCACCGGGCAGGCAGAACACAGAGGCAAGGAGCTGAGACAGCTCAGGCGAGCGGAGGGTGAAAGCTCTGGCCCAAAAGCCCCCTGTAACAGATTCTGAGCTCAGGGAGGGTCTGGGTCATTCCCAGGCACTGAGGCAGGCTCGTGGCAGGCTGGCCAGTGGGCTCTCCCAGCCCCTGCCCGTGAGTCAGAGCCGGAAGGGCTCTCGTCAGTGCTCTGATCCCACCCCCCTGAGCAGCTGAGCCCACAGAGATGTGGTGACCTTGCCGAAGGTCACACTGCAGGTCAAAGTGACACCAGGCCTGGAGCCCCAGCCCCTGCTCTGGCTGAAGCCCTCCCTGCACCCCAGTGCACTCTCCCTGCCCTGCCCAGTGCACAGCTGTGCCACCATCTCTAGAGAGTGAGTGAGCCTGCTCCAGTCTCCTTTAGAATCTACGCATGATGGAATGCCCACAAGGGAGTGCCCCCCACAGCCCACCTGGGGGAGGGGGCAGAGGGAAGCAAGCCCTAAGCAGGTGCCCAGGCCAGGGCTTAGAGTCCTGGTGTACCATGGCCGCTCTGCATCCACCCAGCCCCCTCAGGCTTTGGGTTATGTATAGGTAAAGCACACGGCTTGAGGCCAGCGGAATCGCCATGATTGATGCTCCAGCCATACTGCGTGCAATGCTTAGGCCTCCTCCTGCCTGCCGGGAAGCGGCTTTAAGACGAGTTCCTGTTCTCCTAAGGGATAGGCTAAAGACGGTTTAAGAGACTGATCTGTCTCAGCCAATGGCAGGGCCTGCAGCGCCCCGCCCCACCCCCCAGCACCCGGGTGTACAGCGTTCCTCTTAAACACAACCCTCATCTCCACGCAGAGGGCCGCTGTCAAAACTACAGATGCGCCTCCTCCCGCTTGGTTTTGATACGAGAGCCAGGCTAAAAATAGGCCAGGCTTTCAGATAATCTTGCTTGGGCTATTCTGGAGTGCCCAAGCCAGCGGGGACGCCAGACACGGAGGAGGGGCAGGGGTGGGGGTGGGGAGAGGCATCGGTGCTCTTGGGCAGGTCTCGCGTTCTTTCCAGCATCACTGAAATCCTGGCCGGTTTCCAGAGCAAATTCCTTCCTCTGCTAAGCCTCTTTTGGGGGAAATCGTCAGAAGAGCAGGGGCATTGTTGTTGGAGAGGAGAGAGGGCTTGGAACGGGATGCTGGCACTCTGCAGACACCTAGGGTGCTTCGCCCTCCTGCAAGTTGGGAGACTGGGGTCACAGAGGCCAGGCAGGCGTGTCCAGCCCAGGTCACCTGGTGTGTCACCTGCAGGGACCAGGCAGCTCCTGAGAGGCTGTGGCTTCTGCCCTGGCAGTCTCCTCTCTGAACTCCTGCAGATGGGGCCAGGTGCTGGCAGAGGCAGAGGGCGCCAGGGTGCAGGTGCCTCCACTGTGTGCCAAGGCCCTGTGGTTGCGGCCACAGAGGCTGCTCACCACGCTGCTTTGTCCTCTCTGCCCAGCTAGCCACATCAGGATGTCCAGGAGCCCTCCATCCCCCACAACCAGCCCCACACAAGCGGATCTGAGCACAGAGTCTTGTAGCCACCACATGGTCATAAGCGGGTTGCAGGCAAACTGCCCCCAGCCACGGGGGGATTCTAGAATGAGACAAGTCTGCTCCTCTAAAGCAATCGAGCAGCCCCACTCCCCGCCACTCCCTATTACACTGGCCTCACTGCGTTGCCTCCAGGGCCAGGGAAGGCCCCAGGTGTGTGTGTGCATGTATGTACACATGTGTGCATGTGTATACATGTGAATGCCCATGTGTGTGGCTGCAATGTCACTTCCATAGCCAGGCAAGGCACTGAAGCAGTGTGCATGTATGTACATGTGTGTTTGTGTGTGTCTACATGTGAATTACATGGGTGTGCAGCTGTGGCCTCTCAGCCCCTCCATTGCTGAGTTGCAGCCGCAGGCACCGCCCATAGAGGCAGACACACTGAGGAGCGGCACCCAGAGCCTGAGCACGTTGCACGGGGAGGTACCAGCAGCCCCTGCCCGGCCATCCTTCCGAGCAGCACGCTCACCTCCCTGGTCTCAGTCTGAGCCCTAGGGGATGCCCACAGGCCTGGGAAGTGGCCGCCCTGTCCGAGTACTGACTGCGGGCTTGGCTCTGTGCTACATTCTTGAGAGGCCACATTGCACGCCATCCTCCCAAGGATCCCTGCCCACGTCACCGTGCACAACCTGAGACCCGCTCACAGAGCCTCCTATGGGGCCGCACCTCGCTGCCGATCTCACAAGAGTGCACCTGAGGCTGGCCCACGCCTGAGACCCCACTTCCAATCACTGTGCCTTCTGCCGCAGCACGGGTTCAAGGGCACACCTCGCTGTGCCACAGAGACCTGATCAGGACCCCCTCCCCCCCGTCATCTGTCCCCATGTCCCCACCCCCAGGTAGTCCTGGGGTGCACAGGCTCCCGCAGGTGAGGGCAGACACAGCGCAGGGAAGCACTCAGCAAGGGTCACGCGCACTTCCTAAGTAAAGACACTGCTGTTCCACCCAGCGTCCAGTCTGAGGCTTCCACCACCACCACCATGACCAGCCCAGCCCACACCTCCTCCTGGCTTCCATCTGGACACAGCTAATGTGTGCACAGTTCCCGTGGGGGCTGGCCAGGTAGGACGTTCCGTGTAGGGGTCCAGACGTGCACCATGTAGAGATGTTAGCTTCCTATGGCCAGGAGTGAGGAGGTTGATCCCATCTTACAGATGGGGAAACTGAGGCTTGGATGTTGGGGTAGCTTCGCAGGGCTCAGAGAGCCAGTAGATCAAGGTCTGCTGTGGGAATTCCACTCTGCCCAGTCGCACGACCACGCTACAGCAGCCCAGCCAAGCCAATAAGGAGAGGAGGCGGGATGCTTCTCGGGGCCACCATGACCTTTCCCCCACATCAGGGGCTGGGGCCCACTGGCGGCTGAGACGGGTTCCATTCCGTTCCTGGTCTCTGGCCCGTGAACCTGTTTTCCTGCACAAGGCACCCAGTGCCATCCCACAGCCTCATTCCTGGCTCAGAAGGAGGACTGGTTTCTTAATACAGATTAGGACAGAGAAGAATTTAAACCCCAGGGGGCTCGCATTGCTTTTTAAAGAGCAGAGCGAAAATGCCTGTTTTGACCTTAGCCCTGAACAAAATCTTTCAAGAAAACTAATGCTTCCGAAACAACCACCTGACTCCTTCCATGCTGATTTCACCCCTTCAGTGTGGATCTCCGTGGCCACCTCCTGCCTCTTAGGGAAGGAAGCATGATGCACGCTCACCTGTCTCCAGGTGATGTACGACCACAGCGAAACCTCACTGCATTTCCGGATCTGCCAAGTTGAATGCTGACAGTCCCTCTTCCCAGTCCGAGTCGCTGGCCCCTCCCCCCACCCCTGCCGCCCTCTGCTTTGCCCTCCTGTGGCCGGAAGCCTTTCTTTCTTGGCTTCTTTGTGACCGGGTCTCCCTTCTGATTTAGAACAAAAAATCTAGTCTCCACTTAGAGTTCATTGCTTACTCAGCAAGCGCCCTGCATTGTGCAGTATAAGGATGCCCCAGGGCTCTGCCGCACAGGGAACACAATCTGACGGGGGAGACAGACAAACCAAGCAAGCTTGCTTCCCAGCACCGAGCTCTGTGGCCTTGTCTGGGAGAGTTGTGTCTGTGCCCTGCCCCCATCACCACGTGACATGTGACCTTAAGTGCATCACCTATGCTTTTTAAACTTCCATTTCCCCATCTATGAAAAGGGCATGACCCATTTGCATCCACCATCCGGCACAAGGAAGCTTAAGTGAAACAAAGATCAAGGAGCGCACAGCCCGGCACACGAATCCCTGCCCAGCGCTCATGAGCCGTGCGCTGGGGCTCGGGGCTGCACGGACCAAATGACAGCTCTCGCTGCAGGGGAGAGGTTTCCTCGCAAGGATCCGTGGGCTGCAGGCTTGGTCCGCAGCATGGCAATGTTGCAAGGGTAGGGCCTTGAAGATGCAGAGCTGGCAAGAGATGCTT